CTGCCACAAAGCAACTAGAACTATTTGTTCTATAACCCCAAACACCCTACAAGCACAGCTACAGCCAGAGGGAACCTTTTTGTTTGAGGTGGAGCCCTCTACCGGCCACGCTGATGACTTGCACAGCCGCAGACAGGTTTTCTTAAGGAGATTGGAGAGCTTTGATACGGCGCATGCACACCGTTCTCCCGGGTCTCATGGCCTGCGCAGGCGCAGTCTCCCAAAATGTCCGCCAGAGGGCGCGCTCGCCCACACTACTTGCCCAGACCCACCCTGATGTCCGTTAGCTCGCTAACAGCAACTGGAGAGAAGCAGGCAGTATCACCATGGCAACCACTGACCTCTGCCCCTCTTTCCCCAGTAGCATGCCCTGTGGGCAGCCCCCCGAAGCAATGTTTGAACGGTGGGCTGAGAAAGCAGAGTTGGAGGTGAGAATCCTAGGCTTTGGGGGAATTGAGGTGAACCAGAACTGTGTCACCCCAAGAGAGTAAACATGGGATCATGGAAGCCTTGTCCCCGTTATAAGGCCCAGGCAATCATATGGCCTAGAAAAGCAAGGGGGTAAGAGGGTGAGTTCATAATCACGAATAGAGCAGACAGGTCAAGGACACCGAGGGTACTTACCAAAGGGGACCAGCCAAGCACACGATTCCGTGGGATCACTTTAATAGCCACCTGGAGAGGTAAGAGGGCCAAGCAGGTGACAAACCACCCCCCCTCCCCGCTGCCGCGTCTCTGCTGTAGACACTCCACACTTCCAATGTCCCTCCATCTTCTAAGCACTCTAGTATTTCTGGTCCCCATCACACCACATCCCATAATGAGGCAGGGATTTTACCCTGTCCTCCCAGTACCCAGAAGCAAGTTCATCTCTCCCACCGTCCTTAACCTTTCGCCTCCTTCTTAAGGTATTAGGACCCCTTGATTCTAGGGACCAAGGTTGGTTTTTTTCCCCCCTTTCTTTCATCCCTTTACTTTTTTCCTTGCAATAGTAGGTATCGAACCTAGGGCCATGTCCATACACTAGGCAAGCGCTCTATGACTGAGCTATATCCTAATCACAAGACTGTAAAATTCTTGATATCCCAACTCTGTACCAGAATCCCAGTCCTCTGCAGTCTATACTGAAAGCCTATCCCCGCCAGTCTCCCAATCTGGGATTGAAAGCTCCACATTCTCGCATATATAAATATTCGTTCCTTGCACCACTGGATCTAGGTGTCCTCGAGACCTGCCCCAGGCTAATTCACTGGACCTCCGGAATCCCTGCTCTGAAACCTCCTGCCCCTCCATCCATATCCACCTGGTGTCCCAAAGATGCACACGTTCACACCCCCCACCAACCTGGATCCTGGTCCTCATGACCCTACTACTCAACATTGCAGGTTCCCTCTTAGAATCACCAGCCATCCCAGAACCACAAGGCCCTCCCCTTACCAAAACACATCTAACCCTTCCAAGACCCTCGTTATAGATACAGTACCTGGAGTCGATCTGTAACCCGGTGTCCCGCGAAGACAGTGCCAAAGCCCCCCTTACCCAGGAGGGGGCCGAGTCGATATTCGGCCTCGAACGCTTCCCGATCCTTGCCTCCTACGCAGGCGGAGGCGAAAAAGTCAGGGTGGTGGCGTGCTGAGCCGGGCTGTGCCTTCCTTCCCCCACCCCACACGGCCACCCACCATTGCAGCCCACTCCACCTGGTCGCGGTAGGTAGGAGAGGCTGCGCTCACCTGGCGGCAGTGTGGGGGTCACGGGGGGCGCAGAAAGCCCCTGCAGAGGCTTGGTCAACATGGAGGAGGCACCGCGCAGATTGAGCCCGCTGAATCCGCTGAGCCCGCAGGGCGTGGAGGCCCGGGGCAGCGCGGCTGGAGAGCCAGGGCTGGGGGGCGCCAGGGTGGAAGGCAGGGAAATTGGTGGTCCGGAAGCACCCGCAGACAGCGCAGCGTTAACACTCAACGCGCGCGCCAGGCCCAATGCTACTGAGCCGGGGCACGCGCCTCCCGGGAGAGTCGCCCAGCGCGACAGCCCCGCCCACCTGGCTTTGATCAATCCGGACACGGCACCTGCTGTACCCCAGCCAATCGGAGCCAGTCCTAATTTGCATACCATCCTCAATGTTTCGAGTGTCCCTTATGCAAATACAGGCCTGGTTCTTCCGTAGAGGCGGGGCCTGCATGCAAATGATGGGGGCGCACCAGAAGAGGAAACCGGTTCTGGGAATCCCTTTGCAGCAATCGCGTTTGTTTTGGTTGTTTCGCGGGGTTGGTGGTAGCAGTGGTGGTGGTGTGTGTATGTGTATACACTTAAAAAATAACTGCGCAGCCTCCTTTCCTAAGAAGCAAGCAGGTTTGCCGCTGCCATTGCCGTTGCCCCTGCTCAGAGATTTGTGCGAAGATAATGCTAGGCCCACTGCCCAGCCTGGGGATAACCACAGCCATGATCCTCCAGGCAAATATTGGTCCTAAAGTCAAAATTGAAATCTCTGCTCTAGACACTATCCAGTCTTCAGGGAGGGCAAACGTCCTTGACCATCACCCATCACGAGAGGCACTCCAGTCAAAGGCTGAGTTCAGGCTCCAGGAGGCACTGGCCTGTGGTGTTTTAGCAGCCTTTAACCTAAACAGACTTAGCTAGACTTAGCTGTGGGCCCAGTTGGCAGGTCTAGACTCTACAGCAGGGGGTGTTCTTGGGGGGAGGGGGCTGTGCTTCCATGTGAGGGAGACCTGGACAGAGGGAGCTTGGTATAGCCTGCTACAGAGGTAAACAGCCTTAGGTGCTGATTTGTGAGAATTGGTCCCCCGCTTTAGGCAGAAACATTTTAAACATACAGAAATGTCAAGACATACACACAAGACACATTGATGTGGACTTGTCCTGGTCACACATGGAGACACTGTCAGCAAAGCTAATGCTACGTAAGTCACAGAAATATAGTTAGGGAAAGGGACTCCTTGAGATTCACATAAACCTACACTGCCATGTGATGACACACAAATGTCCTGCCAGACACAATAACAAACTTGTCGCACACTGGCATCAGATACCGTCCCAGAAATGAGGGACCCAGAATCTGTCACAAGAACGTACACAGATGCTCCAGAGACACACATGGATTATCTAAAGGCAGGGGCATGAAGTGAGGTGAGGCCCAATTGTCACAAATAGGGATTGTCATAAAAGTGGACATGGATAGACCTGGTGACATACACCGTTAGACATTCAGCTTTGTCACTGACACTCTAAAAATAGCTAACTAGAATCTGTCACAGAAATACAATCGGACATCTACCCCATCAGACAGAAACCACAGATGCACTGTCACAGACAGACCCACGCAGATAGGCATTTGTCTCAGACACAAACTGTCAGAGTTGCACACGCAGGCACCATCTGACACACCTGGAAAGAAGCCCCTGTCACAAATATGCCTGAAGACAGATACACATGAGAAGTTTGACTCAAAGTCACGCACTTGGACAACACTCATCCATCCAGCACCATGGGAAGGTCTACTCTCAGCCTACCAGGCTTTGGTAGAAGTACACATCTCATGGACAAATCAAGCATCACAATCCCTGTCCAGAAAGTTTACTGCAGTTACGGGGATTATTCGTAAATAGAAGTGAAAATGGGGTGATACAGGGCATCTCAGAAGGTGACTCTGTCTTGAAAGACAAATAAGGTTGGTCGCTGACGGCAGGGGGAGGGCAAGTTGTGGATACAAGCCAAGGCAGACACTTGCACATTGGGTAATTAGTAATGTCCACTAATTCCGTGAGCTCGGAATGTGCCAGTGTACTAACCATACACTATGAAGATGCTCACAGCAGCACAAAGCTTGAGGTAGCAGACACCCGTCTTGCCCCTGTACTGTAGGTGGGACTCAAAGAGAGCCCAAGGCCACATAGCTAGAAAAGCCTGAGGTAGCTTTCCAATCAACCCTCTTAAGAACTCAAGTGTAGGGCATGGTGGCACACACCTGTAATCCAGTACTTGGGAGGCTGAGGCAGGATTACTACACATTTGAGATTAGAGTGAACTGAATAGTAAAACTCTGTCTCAAAAAGATGAAAAAGGGGCCAGGGACACAGCTCACCAGCGCACTGCCCACCTGGCAAGTGCAAGGTCTTCAGTTCCCAGTACCCCACCCAAAACAAGAAAAAAAAAGGCACTAAAAACCTAACTCACGTGCAACCATTGTATTCCAGATACCCTCCCACCAGCCACGCCCTGCCTGCACCTGGGAAGCACTCAGGGACCCCACAGGTGGAATGCAGAAAACAGGCTGTTTTGAGGGGCCAGTTAGCACTGGTTTCAGCTGGAGGGGACTCGGGCATCAGGACTAGGAAACCAGGAACAAAGGATTTAGCCATTTCATACTTCAGCTTCTAAAACCTGGAGGCGGGATGCCCTCTGGTCACTTCCACCAAATTCACGTTGCTAATGAAGTGTCAGCTGTGCATTTCCAAAGCCGCTCCTCACCAGATTATCACAAGAAAGCAGGAAGCACTGATGGTGCGATGGGGGCAGGGAAGCTGGAATTCAGACAGGAAATGCAGTCTCCTCTCTGCCCAGTCTCTGGCTCCCGTCTCCCCCTCCCCCCTTTGGCCCCCTAGGAAATACCGTGGGCTAGAGCCTGGGCAGAAAACAAGAGGGAGATTTTTTATGTTAACAGGCCCAAAAGGAGGCTTTTTGTGTGTGTGGTTTCCCTTGTTTTTGTTTCTAAGAGAAAGACTTGCTGTGTTGCTGCCCAGGCTGGCCTGAACTCCTAGGCTCAAGGGATCCTCTGGCCTCAGCTTCGTGGGTAGCCAGGCCTACAGGTGCACTCCAGCACGCCCGAGCAGCTTAATAAGCATCAGATCAAGTAGGAAGCCCAGGCCCCAGCGCAGACCCCACTGGGAACCATGTGGACCTCGGACGTTAAGTTGGCCCTGTGCTTCCTCTTCACAGAGGCCCACCCGCCCCTGGCCCCTGCCCCACACAGAACAGAACCGCTCAGGAAAACTGACATTTGGTTTTATTGTGCCAAGGACATTACAGATGGTGGATCTTGTCAACACCTGCAGGGCACACATGCCCCATCTGCCAAGGCTGCTCCCACTCCCTTCACTCAGATCCTGAATGCAGCCATGTTCCCCGAAAGGCCCCCATTTCGAGATTCCAGACTATTGGTGGTGGAAGCAAAAGGAATGCAGCAAGGTCTGGGTCTCATTGTCCAAAGCCAGTCTGCCACCTGCCACCCCACTCCCCAACCTGACTCACATCCCAGGCCATGTCCACCTTCAAGAAGCCAGGGGCCAGAAGACAGCAGTGTGCCCCCTCTGCGTTCTGCAGCCAGCCTGCTGTCCCTAAACCAGAGATGCCACCTTCACAGAGCCAATGCTGTCATCTACATTTTTGATTGCTTGGTTTTATGAGATAAAAGTACATTAATAAAGAAAACTTCAACATTGAAGGCTCAGACAATCTTGGGTTACTGGGAAAAGAAATGTTCACCTCTTCCCACGTCCTGGACATAACTGAGGGTGGGGTGGCAAGTGTTCTGATCTCAGAAGGGCACACAGGAGACTTTCTTCTGAGCATCTCCTCTAGGGCTGACCTGGCTGTCAAGTGGTCTGGGGGCCTGTCACCAACCTTTGGCACCCTTGCCGAGTCCCCTGTGGAATGCAGGGATGGTGCTGTGCGGGGCAGGGTGGGGGGGCAACAGGGCACGTGGTGGCTGTGGCAGCTACGAGGAGAGTAGTGTCGGGCCAGCCCCAGGGTGGTGGGGAGGGTGGAAAGAGAGTGGGAAAAAGGGAAGGAGGCAAGAGGGAAGAAAGCCAAAGAAGGTGGGGTGGCAGTGGAGGGCAGGAAGGGGTGTCGGGGAGATGGTGTCCAGTCCCCGGGTTTCCATCAGCTCTTGTCTGGGGGCGGGTCTCTGTGCACTTTGTTTTTCTTCATACTGTCTAGGTATTCCTGTTGGGACACTGCCAGCACCGATGCAAGTATCTCATCATCATCCCAGTCGTTCAGACCTGCTGGGCAGGAGAAAAGAGGAAAGGGCTGACGGGGCGCCCATGGCCCACCTCTGCTCACCCTTGGCGATATGTGGCTTGGAGAAATCTCATCCAGCCCTTCTCACTCCTTTCTCAAAAGAGAAGATGCTCCAAGGCCTCTGAGCCCCACTAGAACCCTTCTAGGGCAAACAACTCAGGCCAGAACAATCCGCCCAGTACCTTTGGTTGGTTTGTTGAGGAGGTGGCCAGAGTGTCCACAAACCCCCACTTAGGACTTTCTATGTGTTCTAGTCCTTGCCCAAATGTCCCATCCCCAAAGGCTTACCAAAGGCAGAGGGGGACATCTGCTGAATGAGGGCCCGGCACTCCAGAGCAGGGTAGAGGGATACAAGTGGGGAGGTGGCCCGGTCGGCCCCTGCCGAGAACTGACTGCTTGTACCTGGGACAGACAGAGAGTCAGAGGGCAGACCAGGAGGAGGTAGGGGCCCTAAGCACAGCCATGTGTCCCCAGAGTGAGGCACTGACCTGGTGCACAGGGTGAGGGAGGTTTGGCAAGCGCTAAAACAGTGCCTGGGGAGGGAGGCTTGATGCCCAGCTCAGCATGAAGCTCGGGGTGCTCAGGTGAAGAAGCTGAACTCCTCTGTCTCGGGGACCGGCTAGTCCACTCCTCCAGGCCACTGGAGGCTGCTGCCGTGGCTGAACTACACGTGGCGCTGGCTTTCCGGGGCTACCACAAGGAAGGAAAAAGTGGTAAAGGCCAATGCCAGCCATCACCCTCCCGGGCCCCAATATCAAGTGTTCGCGCCTGTCCAGTGATACCAACTATGACAGTGTCCATGTGCACCATCATTCACATTCACACAGGGAACCATGGGACCTCTCATAGGGCCAGGGTTAAACTTTTTAACCTACCCACTCATACCCTTGAAACCAAAGGAAAGCCTACTCCAACCTTCACGAGAGATCCCAAGTCCAATCCCTTTCACCACCTCCACCACTGCCAGCACCCCTGCCAGCCATCTAGACTGTGTGCAGCAGCCTCCTGCTCACTGCAACCCCTGCCCCTCTGCTTCTTCTCTAGACTCCAACCCTCCACTCAGCACCCAGGGAGATTCAGCTGTACCCTAACTCAGATCCTAATAGTCCATCTGCTCACAAACCTCTCATCCTTTTCTGCTATCTTCCAAGTAAAAGTCCTCACCATACCCCCAAGTCCCTGCCCCACTTGGGCTGAACACCTCCCTGACTCCATGAATTATGCTATCTGGACTCCAGGGCCTCCTCCCTTTGGGCTGTGCCCGAATCACAGGATGTGCTGGGTCCCTGCCTCCCCTGCGAGTGCGCTCAGCTGTCACCTACTCCTGAGGCCCACTGTGACACCACTTGTTACTACTGTGAATTCCTACCTTGCTCACTCAGCCCTACTTATCCCCTTTTTCCTGGCTCTGCATTTTGCATCTGTCACACTCCCAAACTAATTTCATTATGATTACTGTTTCACTCCACAAACATGTAATCATCACGTATTGGTGAGCCTTGGCCTGCCAGGCTCACCAATTATCTTGCTATACTATACTTGAACACCACTAGCAAGGACTGCAATATATTTTCTATGTGTGGTAGTGGAGATCGAACCCAGGGCTACATTCCCTGTTATTAATTCATTTTCATATAGGGTGTCACTAAGTTGCTATGTTGCCCAGGCTGTACTCTTTAACTTGTGATCCTCTTGCCTCAACCTCCCAGACTACTGTGGAATTACATGCAATAAATATTTGTTGAACAAATAGCTTTTAACATCTGCAATCACTCCAAACTCCTTGTGCTTCTTCAGATGGCTGTCTCTGGCCTGCCCTCTCTGCCCTAACAATTCAACCTTCTCCATGAAGAATGGCCAGAGCTCCTACCTCCATGACCAGGACCACGGGCTCTGCTTAAGGGTTTCACCTGTTTCTCAGTGGGTAGGATTGCTCAGTTCAGAGCAGGCCAGGTGTAATTTCACATCCCGAGTGCCTGGAAGGCACGGACACTCAACAAGCTCTCTCTCTGAAGCCATTCACTGCTGTTAGCAGCAGCAGCTGCTGCCCTCCCTCACTCCTTAAGAGCTCGTTCTGCACAAGTACTGAGTGTTGTAAGGCACAAGGCCAAGACTTGCTATAGATGGGGCTGGGAGCATCCCTCCTCCCCAGGTGTCAGAATCAATGTTTTTCCTATTCATTTGGTGGTAAAGCATGGGAAGTACAGGGTTAATGGCCAGGTCAGGGACAACCCATGACTCACCTGGCTGGGGCCTCGGACCTGGCGGGCCTGCTTCTCCTGATCCCTCAGCCACTGCAGGTAGGATTCTCGAGCTACCTGCTCCTCTATGGCCTCATTCGTGGCTTCCCAGTCTGTGGCTCGTTTCTTGTCTTCTAGCATTTGCTGTTCAATCCATGATTCCTCTGAAGTTTTTATAGCATTCTTCATCAGGGACTGCTCTGCAAACTGCAAGGGGGCAGAGGAACAGGGATATACACAGATGATACCCTGAGCCTGGCCAAGAGCTAGAATGGATTGAGGAAGGTAGGCTCACACAGTCCAACAGCAAAGAGACAGGAAGCCAGGTGCTCTCACCTAGTACCATTCCTGGCAGACTGGGTATTTATTAGGACTTGAGGGAAAATAGATTTGAGTTGTAAGACCTATCATTCCAAATTCCTCCATTCAGAATCCCTGACCCAATTCCAAGACAAGCTGAGGTTAACCTTGGGGGACCAGGAGCCCTTCAGCACAAGTCTACATTTCCAGAAGCCCCATCCAGTGATGACTCAAGTCACACAGAGCCCAGGCTTTCCTCATATATACCCAGATGGTCAAAGAGAACAGATGACTGGAGAAGTGAACTATGTGGACATACGGTGGGGGAGGAATAATCAAGACGGACAGGGTTGGAGAAGCTGTGGTGTTGCACGAAGAAACGGCAGTATGTGCATGACATGGGAGCACTGAGTTATAGGATACTGTAGGGCAGTATTATATGTCAGGCTCTGAGAGAAGACAGCATTTAAAAAATAGAAAATATCAGAATGTAATACATGGAGTGAGTGCAAGTATTGCTACATGGAGCTTTAACATTAATATAGACATATATACCACACACAAACACACGTGTTCTAAGTAACAAGCTAAAAAGTAATTTTCTACAGTGGAGAACAGTGAAAATAAGTATGTAACTTGCATGGTGGCACACTTTGGCAATCCTAGCACTTAGGAAGCTGAAGTAGGAAAGGATCACTGTGAGTTCAAGGCCAGCCTAAACTACATGGTCAGACCATGTCTTTAAAAAAGTATATAAATTTCTACTAGAACATGCCAACTGAAAAGAAGCAAATACAGGCTGGGAACGTTGCTCAATGGTAGAGTGCTTACTTGTCTAACATGAAAGGTCCTGGGTTCCATCTCTAGCACCTTAAAACAACTAAAAATATACAAGCTAACCACTTAATTCAACTAAAAAGATACAGAAATGGCAAACAGTATATGTAAAGATGTTCTCAACATGAGAAATTAGCTCAGTATCATTTCATTAGGAAATTACACATTAAAACAACAATGAACCAGGTATGGTGGCAGCTATCTGTAATCCCAGCACTTGGGAGGATGTACAAGTCTGAGGCCAGCCTGGGCTACATAGTGAGTTAAGGACAGCTTCAACTACATAGCAAGATAGTATCTCAAAAACAAAAAACCCAAAAACCAAAAAACAAGATACCACTACACACCTAAAACAACAGCTAAAATCCAAAGCACTGAGAAGATCAGCTGCTGGAAAGGTGTGGCACAAGAATTTTTATTTGCTATATTATGGTAAGGATATAAGTGTGCAACCACTTGGAGAGATTGACAGTTTCTTATAAATCAAAACATAGTCTTCAAATCCAGCAATCTCTCACCTAGACATTTATAAAACTGATCTAACAACTTATGTGCACAAAAAACCCTGCACACAGCAGTTAACAGAGGTTTTATTCATAATCATCAAAAGCTAAAATCAACCAAGAAGGCCTTTTAGTAAGTGAATGGTTAAACAAACTGGTGCCTCCATAAGTGGAACAGTAAGTGATAAGAGAAAATCAAGCTAACGAGCCAGGAAAACACATGGAGCCTTTAATGCATACTGCTAAATGAAAGCAGTTTGAAAAGTTCACACTGTATGATTCCAATTACATGATATTCTGAAAAAAAAAAAACCCCACGAAGTCAATAAACAAATCAGTGGCTGCAGGAGGGAGGGAGGGAGGGAGAGGCAAACAGATGGAGAACAGGAATTTAAAGGGTGGTGAAAGGATTCTGAATGATCCTGTAATGGTTTAATGGTGGATACCTGATGTTGTTATGCACTTGTAAAAACCCCTGGAACCTTACAAAACAAAGACTGAACCTTAGAGTATGCTGTTTTCTAAAAAAAGGTCATTAGGAGGTGGAGATCCCACCTGGAATGCAGACTAAATGAATTACAATTTGAATTACAATTGCAAATATATGCAAGAACTTCAGGTAGGGGGGCTGGTGACTTAAGCCACTTTGGCAATGAATGGAATCTGTTAACACTAAAGGCAAAAGAGCTGTGCATATCACTGTGCTCTAGGGGGTATGGGTTAATGAGTCTGCCCTTGCTAAGCAAGCAGCAGCTGGGTAAATACATGCTGGGGTGGTGGGGCTGGGTTTCCTACCTCAGGTGGGAATTTGCTGAGGAACATCAGAAAGCTAGAAAGATGCATGTGTTAAAGGATTTGGGTTCACTGGGATGATTACATAAAGAAATTTTTACAGATATGTGTCTATACACAGGTTAGTACACACACATAACTGCTGTTAGATGAGAGGGTCTAGAAATAAAAACCTAGTAGCATGCAAACAGCATACTCAGCACCTAGAGCTCCATTTCTAATAACCTTCTCTAATAAAAGGTTCCAGAGTTACTTGGAAAAATCATTGATTGTACCAGTAAGGCAGGAAATACACAAGATAACCCCAGAAAAACTTGCAGCACTGAAAAATAAGGATGTGCTTCTCTAAAAAAGTGTTTTAAGAGGAATTTCAGAACCTAGCTCAGAGCTAGAGCATTTCCTGGGCATGCACAAGGCCCTGGGTTTGAACCCTAACACCATGTGGAAAAAAAAAAAGGTGAAACAGTCTGAGCAACAAAATAAAAGCAGGATGGGATTATAACATACGGTATAAAGTGAACATCTTTAAGTGGATAGTGAAATAAATGAGTGAATAAATTAATAAATGGGGAGATGGCTCAGTGGAATAAACGCTACCTTGTCAAGTGCAAGGGCCTGAGTTCAATCCCCGGTTCCGCAAAAAAAAAAATAATAATTAAGGGGATATAAGAAACTGGATCTCACTTGCATAACAATTCCAAATGATTTGCATAGGTAGTATATCCTAAGCAACAGTTTCTTTTTTTTTAATATTTATTTATTTATTTAGTGTCTGTGTGTGGCCAGCTCAGCCCACCAGGGGGCGGGGCTGGCTGGCATGTGGTGCTGGGGGTTTGAACCGCGGTCCCTGTGCTCTGCTTAGCTTAGCTTATTCTAAGTAGGTGCTTTAGACCACTGAGCCATCTCACCAGCCCCTAAGCAACAGTTTCTTCACCGTACAGTATGGAAAAGGGGGGACAAAATAAGGTGGAGAAACCTAATAAACACCAGGTACCAGGTGATCAAGGACATCAAGTCATAATCACATTCCCAGTATGTTTTCATTGTTTGTTTATATTTATTTAGCAGTATCAGGGATTGAACTCAGGCCCTTGTGCTTTCCAGGCAAGAGCTTATTCTACTGAGCTATCTCCCTGGCCCCCCTACTTTATTTTTTGAGACAGGGTCTCACTCTGTAATTCAGACTGGCCTTTAACTTACTACATAGCCCAGGCAGGCCTAGAGGGGCCGGGGAGATGGCTCAGTAGAATAAGTGCTTCCCTGGCAAGTACAAAGGCCTGAGTTCAATCCCCGACTCCGCCAAAAAAAAAAAAAAGTGCATATAGTTCAGGCAGGCCTGGAACTTGCAGCAATCCTACTTCAGCGTCCACATTCCCGGGACTATAAGCGTGTGCCACTGTGCCGAGCATGTACTTTACTGCATTTATTTATTTATTTATTTTTGCGGAACTGGTGATTGAACTCAGGCCCTTGTGCTTGCCAGGGAAGCGCTTATTCCACTGAGCCATCTCCCCAGCCCCAATGCATATATTTATGTTATAAAAACACCACTTCCGTGATCTTCCTTCCCAAACCCACATTCCCGGTGTAATCATAAGAACAATGGCCATGCCCTCATACTATAGAGTGTACTTCTTTTCCTACTTTTTCTTGGCCTAAACTCATCCTACCAAGCCTGCTTCTTTTCCTACTATTATAGGCAGCTGAGTTAGAAATATTACAGGCAGTCACTCACAGAAGGCAAGGTACCTCGTAATGGTGGTAAAGACAGACACCTGCCCTGTGGGCAGGACAAAAGATTAAACAAATGAATCCACATACCTCCCTATGGATAGCCATCAGGAATTGATATTCTAAATAGGTATTGAATGCCTTGAAAAAGCTAGGATGAGTTACTAACCCAACCCCCTACAGGAAGAGCCCCTGTTGTGCATTCTTGCTGGCCTGCTACGTGACTGTGACTCACTTCCCCATTTGATCCTGATTTGATCAACTGCACCTGAGAAATTATGCTTGCAATCTTATTGGATGACCGTAGTTTCACCACACCTCATGCCCACCTATCGAGTTCCCACGTTTCCCACCTTGGACCTGTCTCACCTGCCACATGGTTTTGCTCTATAAAAATCTCTAGGAAAGTCAGGGTCCTGGGCAACCCACTGGGGTTTCCTTCTGTCTGGCTAGGACAGAACCTTTCTTTCCCCCAATAAACATATTCTGCTCCTAGTCTCCACTGTTCCTAAAATTCATTCTTTGGCTTTCGAGAACACAAATTCATCACAGGTTATTTTTCCAATTGGGAGTTTCGTTCCCCTATATCACCACCTTTAATAAGACTTTGCTACCACTTAAAAAAAAAACAACAAATTTTAAAAGAAGAGCTTCCCACAATACACTTGATCAGTACTCCTTAAAAATGTCAAGGTCGTCAAAACAAAGTAAGTGTGAGAAACTGTCACAGAAAAGGAACACTGACTTCAGTTAATAACAATTATCAATATTGGTTTACACAGTGTAGCAAAAGGAATAGAGTCATCTGAGATGTTAACAATAGCCGAACTGTGCAGGAGGGAGGGAACTAGATGTGTATTCACTTCACAATTGTTCTGCAAATCTACAACTGTTCTAAATTAAATTTATTTATCAGAAAAATTCAGCCAGAAGGACTGCTGCAAGTTTGAGGTCAGCCCAGGCATATAATTAGTTCAGGGGCAGCATTAACTATACAGCAAGACCCTCAAAAAACCAAAAAATAAAAAATAAAACCAGAAAAACTCAAAACATTCAATTTTTTTTTGGTACTGGGAATTGAACTCAGGATCTGGTGCTTGCCAGGCAGACGCTGTGCCACTGAACTACATACCTGGCCCAAAATATTCAACTTTTTACATTAGCAAAAGTCATGGTTAAATCTTAAAAAACAATAAACTGGAAAAAATCTGCAATAGCTACAGACATGATTATAAACATATGACATGCTAGGAAAGGACAAACTATAATCTATAAACAAGGGCCAGGGAGATAGCTCAGTGGAGTAAGTACTTGCCTGGCAAGTGCAAGGTCCTGAGTTCAATCCCTGGTGCCACCAAAAAAATAAAAAAAAAAATCTGTAAACAGATCAAAAGGAAAAAATGAAACTCTGAGAAACTCTCACAATTACAAGGAGTTGGGGTCAGGAAGATAGCTCAGGGGCTGGTGAGATGGCTCAGTGGTCTAAAGCACCTACTTAGAACAAGCTTACCAAAGCACAGGGACCACAGTTCAATCCCCCAGCACATGCCAGCCAGCCCCGCCCCCTGGTGGGCTGAGCTGGACACACACACACACACACACACACACACACACACACACAAATAAATAAATAAATA